AAGAGAAGCATAGAACTGCGTCACAGCAGAGTAAGAATTTGAGACATTAATCAAGACTTTCCTCATTTTCTTCCATGTAACATCTTTGCAGGTGGGGCCAAATAACAGAGCACAATATGAAGCAGGTAAGCATGGTAATCACTGGCTATGTATGGAAAGTGTAGTTGTGCTATAGAGTTCAATGATCTTGAGACGAACGTAGCAGTCGATGCGAATGACAGTCAGAAACTTGCTGCCGCAAATAAACCTCCACTCACAAGCAAAGCGGTTTGTTGCTATCTCTTGCGGTTAATTCAAAATAGTGCAGCCATCAGCTGTTACCGCATTGCAGGCTGCTCATGAAGTTGAAACCAAACCTAATTCGGCGAAAGATTCCGAAGGGTCTAGCGTGTCGGAAGACGAGGATTTTGAACTATGTAAGTCATCTGGCTGTTAAATTTTTGCGCGAGTCGATTCCATTGGAACAACGACCTAAGCTAAGTGACGTTTGCGCATTGAAGCTTGTTCTTACTAGATCTGAAAAAACTGCGCACATCTGAGGTAGAGAGGAAGACAGTAGCCAATAAACCTGTTCATGAGGAAAGGTTAGTTTTCGTGCATTTTCCATGTCATTGAAAGCAATGGTGGTGAATTCAGCTTTATCGTGAGTGATAGCGATGTCTCGGAAGACAGCGAAGCAGAAATTGAAGACAGTAATAAATCCTGGAACAGTAGTTGCAGCGACAGTGAAGAGGACACTACTGTGAAAAGTATGTCTTTAGTGTTCTTTAGCAAATTATATTCTCTTTGCTATTTCTATTCCTGTTCATAATTCTGAGATGTATTTTTCCGGTGATCTTTTAATCCATCATTTAGAGAACATATTGCTCAAAAATATAGCAGATTCATTCAAGAGTCCATCAGTGTTTGCAAAGAAGAACGCAAAGGTGATCTCGGCACTTATTTTTATTGAAGCAGATTTTGCTGAGTTACATGTATGAGGTTTGTTGTAGACTGATGAAAATGAACACTTCCTCATTTCACTTTCACCTGACTATTCGGGTGTGCGACATCCAGATGCAGAGATGTTTTTGAAGAAAGGTATCAAGAATGAGACTAGGAGATCCGAACTTACCAAAAAGCTATTCGAGATCTTTCGCCGAGAGTGCTTCAAAGAAGAGGTTAGTCTTGTTTGGGTGACTTTGCGCAGTCAAAATTCAGTCTTATCTTTCAGTGCACAGCTGTTTCCGCAGACTAATTTTTTCAACTTTCTGTAGTAGAATTTTTCAGCTTCCTGAGTTTCTTGACATAAAATGGAATCCGAGACTGCGCAAAACGGCGGGGATGTGTCGAAATAAATCAGATCGCACAAGCTGGATAGAACTGTCTCCAAAAGTTTGCAGCACCCCAGGTACTCGTACTTGTTTTGTGAATCTACTTGCTTACTCATTGTCGTTTTATGAAATGTGAAGATCGTGTAAGGGATACCCTTATCCATGAACTCTGCCATGCAGCAGTGTGGATTGTCGATGGATGCATCAAAGAAGGACATGGCCCGATTTGGAAGCGATGGTACATGTACATTGCCATTACCACTTGCGCACTTTTCCATCAGTTGTCACACAATGTTTGACGAATGCGGCCTATAGACGCTATCAACTTTTTTATAGACTCATCTCTGCACTCTAAACTAGTATTGGAATTTGCTAAATGCATCAAAAAATCAATGCCGTTATGCTTCAATTTTACAGCGCCATTATTTCAGGGCTAACCAGTGCATGCAGCGCTTTCGATCCCTTCCGGTTATAGGACGTTGTCATGATTACGAGATTGAAGCAAAGTTCGTCTATGAATGTGGGGGTTGTGGACAGAAGTAAGTTTCATCTTACCCAAATGAGAGCGGTAGCACGTCGGTTAAAATCCACCAAGCGATGGAATAGCGCATCTTGATCTAAAGTTGAAACTGACCATATGCATCATGAACGGGACTTGGAGTCTGTCGTTCTATGACGGATCTTGGGCAAAATCTTCTTCCCACGAAGCATCTCGCTCACAGAGGATAAGAAAATCGAAATTGCGTTCAATTCCCGGATCTGCACATACCTAACTGGTGTGCCGACGAAACGTGCTCATTTCCTGTCAAATGACTAGGAGAATTGATAACGCAGATCTCCGTTGAAGTCGTCGGTCAATCATATCTTGAGTCTCCTCGTAGTATACTGGTAAACTCAATACTAAAATCTGGCTTTTATGCGTCTATAGCCATCCGGTGCCGACACCACTCAGACAATCGCCGGGCGTAGGTGGTCACAGGAAAAGGCGCGTTGTTATTTCAAATAACGCGGTTGCAGAATTTAGAAATACTGAAGAGCAGTTTTCCTATGTTGCTTGCAGATTCCTTTCTCGTTCTTTGCATTAAATTGCTATCAGCAAGAAATCTTGGTAACGCTCATGAACAGTTTTATGAATCTCTGCGAGCGGAGTGCAAAAAGTCATTCTATTTTTCCGATGCCTGCCTCGGGGCCGGCAATTATCTGAGCTGTCAGCTGCGGACATTTGAGGGTTCCTGGATAGGCTAACGGAATACATAAAGAAATTGATAAACAGTCAAATACTACATCTATAGAGTACTCGTTTAATTGGTGCAAAAAAATGGCAGAAGGAAATCACGGGGATCTTTTTTGAACCTTTCGCGTAGCAGGCAACTTACAAGAAGTTTCTACAGTCGGACAGGCCATGAATATCGAACCCTTATGAGGGGTGAATTTTTGGTATT